CGACTCCTCTTCCCCAGGGGAACTTGCCCGAGATCCTCCAACAATCAGAGGCAGACATGGGACCAGAGCCCAGGTCTTGGACTCTCGGTGTGGAGTTCTCCTGACCAGTCCACGCTGCCTTCTTGCATTTATACACAGTTGCATGTCCACTGTGCACATCTGCCCTGTTTCCCACAATGCACCAATCTGGGCAGATGAGAAGCATCAGAAGGCGTGTCACCTCTGACATTCCCACGCAGAGATTCTCCCCTAGAGTAGATGGTAATAGATTCCGAAAGCAAGGCAGAACATTCCTGGATATCTAACCCACATGCTCACTGACAGGGGACGGACTGAGACCAGATCGCCAGAGGGGAGTGACCGGCCCAGGCCATGTCACAGTGAGATACAGTGTGAAGGTCATCATGCTAGGCCTTTTTGTGTTGTTGTCGATGCTGTACTGTCTTCCCAGACACAGCAGCTGCTGGAAAGTCTGTTAGCTGACAGCTCTCAGCTGTTCTCTCTCTTTGGGACTTGCCTCAGTTGGGGAGAGCTGTTTCACCCTCTCCAGGGAAGCCAGTGTGCAAAGACTCGCCCCAGGCTAGCTGAGGTGACTCAGACCTATAATAGCAGTGCTTTGGGAGGCCAGGTGAAAAGATCACCTGAGGCCAGGAGTTTCAGATCAGCTTGGGCAACAAAGCAAGATCCCGTCTCTACCAAAAATGTAAACAATTATCTGAGCATGATGGTGTGCACCTGTAGTCCCAACTGCTCAGGAGGCTGAGGTGGGAGGATTGCTTGAGCTTAGGGGTTTGAGGTCACAATGAGCTATGATGGCACCAGTGCACTCCAGCAACAGAGCAAGACTCAGTCTAAAAAAAAAAAAAAAGACTCACTCCGACTTGGAACAACTGTGAAGGATGTTCCAGCTCCAGAACTTCTTGGAGGCTGAGGCTTTGTGGTGACTGCAAAATGCCTCCCTCTGCCCCAGTCCTGCTTCCTTCTCTTCCCAAGAGCTCTCGCAAATAAACTTCCTGCATGCCAATCCCTGAGTCACAGTGTATTTCCCAGAGGCACACCCTGTGACACATCTGTTATGTCATTTATCCTCAGCACAACTCTGAGAACTAGTAGTATTATCCTTAGTTTACAGGAGCTGAGGCTCAGAGAGGTTCGCTGAATTGCCCAGTATCACACAGCACATGAGTGGTGGAGCCAGGGTGCAAATCCAAATCCGTCTGCCTCCAAATCTCACACTCTTTCCACTCTCTTGGACCAGTTCTCTTGACCACCCTTGGCTTTGTTTTAGGGGCAAGTTTGACCCCCAGGACATGGACAAGAATTTGAATGCCATCCAGACGGTGTCAGGGATCCTGCAGGGCCCCTTTGACCTGGGCAACCAGCTGCTGGGACTGAAAGGTGTGATGGAGATGATGGTGGCACTATGTGGCTCAGAGCGTGAGACGGACCAGCTGGTGGCCGTGGAGGCCCTCATCCATGCCTCCACCAAGCTCAGCCGTGCCACCTTCATCATCACCAATGGAGTGTCACTGCTCAAACAGATCTACAAGACCACCAAAAATGAGAAGATCAAGATCCGCACACTGGTGGTGAGTGGGCTCGGTACCACCCTCCTACTCGGTACCAGGAGCCATGCCAGGCACCAGTGACACCGAAATGAATGAGTTGAGGCCGCTGTCCTTGGGGAGACCAGGTTCAAGTGGGCACCAGACCCAGCCACAGACCCCTGCAGAATAGGGCATATCCAGGGGGCTTGTGAGGTTGTAGATTCAGAACGGAGAACTCTGCTGCTTAACCCTGAGGATGTTCGTCTCCCTGCTTACGAACAACACGAACACTGATGAGCTTGCATCCAGGATGCATTTTCAGAGTAAATTCTGAAAAGTCAGTTTCCTTAATCAGTTTCTATAAGGTATTTTTTTTCCACTTTCATTTTACCTTTTTTCTTTTCTGAGATAAAGTCTCACTCTGTCACCTAGGCTGGAGTGTAGTGGTGTAATCTCAGCTCACTGCAACCTCCACCTCCCAGGCTCAACTGACTCTCGTGTCTCAGCCCCCAGAGTAGCTGGAATTATAGATGTGTGCCACCACACCCAGCTAATTTTTGTATTTTTAGTAGAGACAGGATTTTGCCATGTTGGCCAGTCTGGTCTTGAACTCCTGACCTCAGGTGATCCAATCCCCAGGCCTCCCAAAGTGCTGGGATTACAGGTGTGAGCCACTGTGCCTGGCCTGAAGTTATTATTATTATTGTTGTAATGTTTTGAGACAGAGTCTCCCTCTGTCACCCAGGCTGGAGTCCAGTGGCATGATCTTGGCTCACTGCAACCTCCACCTCCTGGGTTCAAATGATTCTCCTGCCTCAGTCTCCCAAGTAGCTGGGATTACAGGTGCCTGCCAGCACAACCGGCTAATTTTTGTATTTTTAGTAGAGATGGGTTTCACCATGTTGGCCAGGCTGGTCTCAAACTTCTGGCCTAAGAGATACACCCGCCTTGACCTCCCAAAGTGCTGGGATTACAGGCGTGAGCCACTGCACTCAGCATCAATTTTTTAAAAACAAATTTTAGCTTCTGACAAAAGTGAATTTTCTCTTATGAAATTGCCTCCCTAAGAAAAGTCCAATTTTCTCTGGGTAGAATTTTGCACATCTGAATCTTATCTATCCAGAAGATAGAATTTCGCTGCCAGTTTCTGTGCCATAATAAGGTTCCTCATTGAAGCTTCAGATGTGGTTAACTTGGTCTTGCTGTTTTTTTCAAAATGGCAGGCACAATACATCTGTGGGGTCAAAATGGTGGGGGTCAAAATGGAGGGCAAGAATTTGCAACTTGATGGGCCTCTAACCCACAGCATCAGGGAAAGTATCTCAGCAGAGGTGATACCTGAGCTGAGTTTTACAGTCTGCACAGAGGTGGATCCAAGCAAAGAAAGAGGGGCAAAGTGTTCTGGCCATAGAAACCAGTTGGAGCAGGGCTTCATCCGCAAGCCTCGGTGTCTCTGATCCTGCATGCGTCTGCTGTCTCCTCTCCTCCACAGGGACTCTGTAAGCTTGGCTCCGCAGGCGGCACAGACTACGGTCTCAGGCAGTTTGCGGAAGGGTCGACAGAAAAGCTGGCCAAACAGTGTCGCAAGTAAGGGGGGTGTGTTTCCCAGGCCCTCCACCTCCTCACGCGCCTTCCGGGCAGGAGTCTCTGGGGTGCGCTCCAGTGGAGTGTGAAAGGGCCCTCATCATTGGTTCACCACCCTGAAATCGCCTCACCCTCTTGACCTGAGCCCTGGGCCCCTTCCCAGGTGTGCTCCCTCCTCACTTCCAGGTGGCTGTGCAATACGTCCATAGACACCCGGACCCGGCGCTGGGCAGTGGAGGGCCTGGCCTACCTCACACTGGATGCTGATGTGAAGGACGACTTTGTCCAGGACATCCCTGCCCTGCAGGCCATGTTTGAGCTGGCCAAGGCAAGTGTGGAGGAGTCTGCCCTGACCACAAACCTCAGGAGAGGTCTGCTGGGTCCAGACCCACAGGGATTGGATCCCAGTCTTCCTCCTGGCTCTACTCCTTACCCCTGTGTAAACCTGATCGGTTATTTCCCCTTTTCTGGCCCTCATTTTACCTGACTGTAAAATGGACTCCCGACCCTAATGCCTTCCAGAGTGGGAAGATGCACAGGAGGGCAGTTTGTTTTCCTGGGGTCCTCAGGAGGTGAGGTCTTGAAGGACCTGAGGCAGCTAAAAAAAAAAAAAAAAAAAAAAAGCAGGGGGGCATCGTAGCTCGCGCCTGTAATCCCAGCACTTTGGGAGGCTGAGGCGGGCGGGTGGCTTGAGCTCATGGGAGTTCGGGACCAGCCTAGGCAACATGGTGAAACCCCATCTCTACAAAAAATAAAAAAATTAGCTGGGCGTGGTGGCACATACCTGTAATCCCAGCTACTCGGGAGGCTGAGGTGGGAGGATTGCTTGAGCCTTGGGAGGTCGAGGCTGCAGTGAGCTAGAATTGCACCTCTGCACTACAGCCTGGGTGACAGAGAGAGAGACCTTGCCTCAAGAAAATAAATAAATAAAAGAGGCTGTGCCTGGCCTTTCTGGGAACCTGGCCTCCCTCTCAGACCCTCCCAGACTCCTTTCCTTGTCTGCCGGGCCAACTCCCTGGCTCTTTTCTACCAGTAAAGGAAGAAAGTTTGGGAGAGATTTTCTCCAGGACCTGAGAATGTTCAGCTCCCGCCCCATCTCCAGTTGGATGGGAAAGTGTTAGACTGGGCTTTTGGAATAGGCACAGACTGAGGATCTTTGTGAGACAGCTCCTATTCATACTGCCAGAGCTGCTGTTGGAGGGTACAGGAGACACTGCTGCCCACCTTTATGGACAGAGCCTCTCCTGCACTGCTGTCTTTCCTCAGAATGGGCCCTACCAGCTGCACTCCTCCCACACCAACCTGCCGGCCACGTGAGGGAGCATCCTGGAAGCAGAGATTTATCCTAAAGTTTCCTTTCTGCTTTCCTTCTCCCCAACCCTGTGCCTTCCAGACCAGTGACAAGACCATCCTGTACTCGGTGGCCACCACCCTGGTGAACTGCACCAACAGCTACGATGTCAAGGAGGTCATCCCGGAGCTTGTCCAGCTCGCCAAGTTCTCCAAGCAACATGTGCCCGAGGAGCACCCCAAGGTAGGGTCAGGCGCAACGTGGGAGGGATCTGGTCTGGGCCACCAGGCCTCCAAAGGAGGCGGAACGGCAAAAGGAGTGGTGTCGGGGGCAGCATGGTGTGTGTCTGGGTGGTTGGGGGTAGGATACACATACACTGAAGATGTTAATGGTAAACTTTCTCACCAGATGGTGCTCATGCTTTTTCTTTGTTTTTATTTTCTATTTTGAAAAAAATCCAACAATTTGTAATCTGAGAAAACAAATGGAGCTATGATGGACACTTTGCAATTTGTGTTGTTGATTTTATGGATTAAAGACAGTTTTATTTCATGTCTCCAACAGATAACAATTTGATTTTCTCAGATTTCTGGGTTTTGTGACATGGGTGCTAAGTAGGAATCATGAGAGGAGAGGCATGCTCAGCATTAGCCCAGAAGTCACGGATCCCCTGGACCCCTCGCCAACAATTCCTTGCACATGAAGATATGATTTGTGTGTGATTTGCATATGAATATATGCAAGATATAGCCAGCCAATAAAATCATTTAGATTTTTTTTAATGATCAAAGTAATATAATCATGCTGCAAAATGAGTTAAAATGGAGAAAAGGGAATAACCACTCATGATTACGTCATCTCCACATGACTGCTGTTGGCATTTTGACGCTATGTTACCTACCAGGGGCTTTTTTTCTATGTATCTTTTCTCTTTTCACAGTTACAATCAGAATATATTTATCATTTTGTGCTCGATTTTGGAAAAATATGTTTTCCACATTGCCATCTCATTCTCTGAATCATTTTTATTGTATTTATTTTTTGAGACAGAGTCTGGCTCTGTCACCCAGGCTGGATTGCAGTAGTGAGATCTAGGCTCACTGCAACCTCTGCCTCCCAGGTTCAAGTGATTATCCTGCCTCAGCCTCCTGAGTAGCTGGAATTACAGGCACGCACCATCACTCCCAGCTAATTTTTGTATTTTTAGTAGAGACAGGGTTTCACCATGTTGGCCAGGCTGGTCTTGAACTCCTGACCTCAAGTGTCCCACCCACCTCGGCCTCCTAAAGTGCTGGGAATCCAGGCGTGAGTCACCGCACTTGGCCTCTGAATCATTTTTGAAAGCTGGATGATGTTTCATCCAGGCAAGGGTGCAGAGCGTGTGCTGTGGCTGTGAAGTTCCAATGTGGCTTCCAGGGCTTGCCCAGGGTTGTCAGCCCCTTCCCCACCACTCCCCACTCTGAGGATTGTCTGTAGGGACTCTTTAACCCTGGGTTGACTTTGGGTTTCCAGCAAACCCAATCTATTGTTATGGCGGCTTCATCCACTGTGTCCTTTCTCTCCTGCCTATACCCTCTACCTCCCCTCCCACCCCAGCCTTTTCCAAGAAAAACAATATATGCATCATTTAGTCTTTTGGATTATCCTTCTTTTATTTCATTCCTCTGTGAATGAGAGAACCTTTGGGACTGGTTTTCTATGGTATCAGCTCCTCAGGCTCTGTCTTGGGATTAGGGAAGGCAAGGAAGAAAAGAGACAGTGACACACGACAGCAGAGCGTGCTATATACCCCTTGGCAGTTGTTTGGGAAGAGGGAATCTGGAGAAGTGTCTTAATTTCCTATTGTTTCTAGAACACATTGCCACAAGCACTGTGACCTAAAACAACACAATTTTTACTTTTTTTTTTGTTTGTTTGAGACTGAGTCTCCCTCTGTTACCCAGGTGGAGTGCAGTGGTGCAATCTCGGCTCACTGCAACCTCCGCTTCCTGGGCTCAAGCAATTCTCCTGCTTCAACCTCCTGAGTGACTGGGATTACAGACATGTTCCACCATGCCCAGCTAATTTTTGTATTTTTAGTAGAGACGGGGTTTCGCCATGTTGCCCAGGCTGGTCTCGAACTCCCGGACTCAAGTGATCCACCCACCTCAGCCTCCCAAAGTGCTGGGATTACAGACATGAGCCACCGCGCCTGGCCCAGTTTTAAAAATCTTATAGTTCTGGGGGTCAAGAGTCCTAAAATGAGTCTCACTCGGCTAAAGTCAAGGTGTTAGCAGAGCTGGTTTCTTCGGGTGGCTCTAAGGGAGAATCATTTTGTTGTCTTTTTCAGCTTCTAGAGGCCACCTACATGCTTTGGCTGGTGACCTTGAACCACTCCGACCTCACTTCCATTCCATTGTCACATCTCCTAGTGCTAACTCTGATCTTCCTGCCTCCCTCTGATAAAGATCCTGGTGATTATATTGGGCCCACATAGAAATCTAGGCTTATCTCCCCATCTCAAAATCCTTGACTTAATTGTGTCTACAAAATCCCTTTTACCATGTAAGGTCCCACGTTCACAGGTTCCAGAGATTAGGCCGTGGACATCTTTGGAGGCCGTTATTCAACCGACCCCGAGAATTCAGAAATGCACCATCTTTGGCTCCAATTCAGATTGGCCTAGCACCCAGGACCCTCTCACATTGCCATCTTTTCATCTCCCCAGGACAAAAAGGACTTTATAGACATGCGGGTGAAGCGGCTTCTGAAGGCGGGTGTCATCTCTGCTCTGGCTTGCATGGTGAAAGCAGATAGTGCCATCCTCACCGACCAGACCAAGGAGCTGCTGGCCAGGTGGGGCTGCAGTGGACCAAGGCTTGGAACTAGGGCTGAGGGCTGAGGGGCCTGGAGTGTAGCATGCTGGGCAGGGAGATAGAAATGCTGGAGGCCTAAATGAGATAAGATATTGGGAAAGCCTGGAGAAAGGTCTGAGGGGATCAGCTTTGAAAAGTGACATGGGACCAGGGGTGGTGGCTCATGCCTATAATCCCAGGGCTTTGGGAGGCCGAGGTGGGAGGCCTGCTTGAGTCCAGGAATTCAAGACTAGCTTGGGAAACATATTGAGACCCCATCTGTACAAAAAAATTTTAAATTAGCCTGGCCTGGTGGTGTGCACCTGTACTCCCAGCTACTTGGGAGGCTAAGGCAGGAGGATCACTTGAGCCCAGGAATTCAAGGCTGCAGTGAATGATGATGGTACCACTGCACTCCAGCCTGGGCAACAGAGCAAGGTCCTGTCTCTGTACAACAGAGGAAAGAAAGAAAGACAAGCAGAAAGAAAAGAAAGAAAGAAAGAAAGAAAGAAAGAAAGAAAGAAAGAAAGAAAGAAAGAAAGAAAGAAAGAAAGAAAGAAAGAAAGAAAGAGAGA